CTTACTTTAATTACAAGACATAGGATATCATTACTGACCATTTCATGTATTCCCCGCTTAATGGGTGATCCCAGGAAAAGCATCTCTCTCTGAATTGGACACTTTAAGGTCTGACATCAAGCCATTATGTTGACATTCAATGTTAGCAAAATGAGAAACTGATTTAATTTCACTTAAGTAGAAGTACTCCTAATTGAAATAATTTAAAGTGTTTCTCTTTTCCAAAGCCCTTCCAAGCGGCAGTTCAGCACAGTTTCATGCTCCTCACAATTACCCAAACTGACTATGTGCCAAGTCACCAGATCACCAGCTCTCCATTCCCTCCCTCCCCTGCCCTTTCAGAGGCCTCTTGCAAGAAAAAAAGATTAAACGTGGCTGTGATAAGAAGTCTGGGACCACACTGTACTGATTAGATTGCCTGAGCTGACCTTTAACATTTAGCACTGCCTTGGTCTCCACCCTGCCACGGGTGGGTTTCTACAATGCCCACTCGAACCACTTCTTCCTTTTACCTTTGATAGTGTGAAATAAATGTGATGAGCTCAGAATACTTTCCACTGGCATTTAGAATCTTTCTGGTGCTCTCAATATATCAGTTTTTCCTGGTCTCTACTGCAAAAGGAAATCAAGTCACCTTTCCCCTCTACAAGCTTCGACCTGCAATATTTCAAGATAAATAAACCAGCAAGTACAAAACGAAGCAACAACTATGTATAACTTCAGAAGTGTTAGGGCCCAGGGGAGTTCTGAACTTTGCAGGTTGGTGCTGACTGTGTTAGCAGATTCACAAAGTTTTATGATTTAGTGCATATTAGTTCACCCACTAACTTAAAATAGGAACTTTAGAAAACAGGTTGGAACAGAGCTCTTCAGCCTAACTAGGATTTGGCTGACTCCACAGTCCAAGTGCCTCTTGATACAGCCTGATTCAGAGAATACAGAAAGAAAAGTGCATTTTCCAAACTGCACTTTGCAGAAGGGGCATCAGGAGAGCAGCTCCAATCCATGCTTTGCACCATGGCCAGCTCCCAAGGACACCCTGACAACATGGCTTACATTTGTGTGGTGTTAGCCATCAGCAACCATGTAGATCTGTCCAGAAAACCCAAGGGGTGGTCAAATTTCAAACCTCTTAACAATTAAATTGAGCACAGAGATTCAATATCTTTATGCAAGTCAACTCCCTGTAGACAGAAGCTGAACACAAAATCTGGATCTGCCTTTTGACCCTGGATCCAAAGTGAGGACTTTGTGGTTGTGCAACCAAGTGTCACTCTCATGCTAAAGGAGCTCCAGTCCCGTGCAGTGTTTTCCACAGGGAAACAAGTCTCTTCCTCAGAGACAAGCAACAGTGGACTTAAAGCTTTAAGAGAATCCTATAAATCCAAAAAGACACTAGATCTGGAGCAAATTAGCACTGCTGACGTGCAAATTATATCATGTCCTATGCCACGAACTTGTGCAAATTCCCAATAAATCTGTTTAACCACCTGCTATAGGAAAGGAGTGGTGTGCCAGGAATGACAAGGGGCAGAATTGCTGTATACAGCTCGTTGCATTACAGCAAACCCTACTGCTCCTAATTTGCTTGTTTTTATAAGTGATTTCACACAATTTTAAAAATCTGTAGTTTGAAAGAGGAAGTGTTCAGTCAAGAGTGATTCCTCTTGGGCTATTTTTAACCAGAGGAGAAGAGCATAACAGAGCAAGAAAGGAGAACAAGACAGCTGCAACTCCATCTTGGGATGACACACTTTAAAAAAAAAAATAGAGACCAAATTCCATGGTCATACAGAGAAGCTTTCATCAATTTCGAAACATAAAAGACAACCATCCAAGCAAAATAAAATGCTGTTATTTTTAACAAACATTTAATTCTGCTCCCTCTGAAGTCAATTTGAGAGCAGCAACTGACTTGGAACAGATGCTGGCTTACACCTTAGGAATATTAAAAGCAAACAAAACTGAGGCAAACACCCTGACTAACGCCTGGAGCAGAGGATGGTCGTGTCCTTCAGCGTTATTTCACCAGCTTCTGTACAGAAGGACAACAGACAGGGTTAAACCTGACAAACCTGAAGTTATTAAAGTTAGGAAACGCTGTCGAAGATTTTGGGAACAGGATGTGCTGGAGAAGAGAAGCAGCCACTCCATCAACCTGTGCAAGCTCCACATAAGCAGCTTGACTGAAACCAGTGGCAATACACACATGAAGCACAAATGTTGGGGGCTGATATGGTAAAACAAGCTCCAACACAACACACGAATGAAAAAAAAAGGGAAGGACTACTCTGGTTTTGGCAAAAGTTCAACTTCCTCTTCTAAGTGCTGCTCGCTGTGTGGTACCACACCTTACTGTCTTCATATGAATCCAACCGAAAGAGCTGAAACCGAGCCAACAATCTCAGTATGTTCCTCTGATGCCCTAATCTAATAAAATAAAATAGCCTTAACCTGGCAGAAATCCTTTTCCTGTAGTTATCTATGCACACAGGAGCACATGAAGGACTGCTTTAAAGTACAACTGCGTTACAAGGGCAAGGAGAGCTTTCAGAAGTAGTACGTAGCAACTCAAAGACACAGTGAATAAAATAATTTTTTTTTTTTACATTTAAATTTTAAGGTAAATATGGCAAATGGTCTCAAAAAACCCCATAAAAATACCACCAGCACCACGGTAAAAGAAAACTAACTCCACTCACCAAGATTGTGGCAATAGGATTTCAAAAGTAGTACCTACAATTATTGTCAAACCCTGGGAGGATTCACTGTTCACCCAGAAAGGGGCTACAATAACTAGGATATCCTTTAATTATGCATGTTTACAACTCTCCTGAACAAAATGCTGATTCCCCAACTTTAAAAAACATAATTAGTTCTGAAATAATTCCCAAATCCACTGTCTGCTAACATGGGAAGAGACTGATAGTCCCAGTGTGGGCAGAAAACCACCATATCTCGACCTAAACTGTGAATTCCTTTCACAAAGGCATTAGGTTTGGGCTGTTCCTGTCTCCCAGATTTTGTCTATAAAGTCCAGAAATACCCTGCTGGGATTCCACTGAATTCCACTGAAAACTTGCTGGATTTGCTCCTGTAACACAAAAATGGAGACTTTCCGGGTCCAACCCACTAACATGCAAGCCCAAGTTCAGACACAAAATTCAAGATGCTGATATCAGGCCTCTTGTTCAATCCTGTCTATTGACTTCTAATTATATAGGTTTTTATTATCTTAACAGCTTTCAATATCCAGCAAGGCCAATAAAATACCATTTATCTGATGAAATTACTGGGGGCTGAAAGGTTCTGAAGTTTACTCATAAGGTGATGCTATAGGGAAAGTGAAAGTTTATTCTGAACACTCAAGTGTTTGGTTTTTTGACTGATAACATCGCACCTGATCAAGCAGCATGTCCCTCACACACAGCCCCCCACCCAGCTCATGATGTCAGAAACCTGTGGAGTAGGCAGAGCTAGAAGTACTTTAGCATCTCAACCTGCATGGAAACTTCCAGGGCCAGCCATGTGGTGTGACACACTCTGAGAGGACCATGTGGGGAACACCAGTATAGCCTACAAAGGGACACCCTGTGCCCTCCCCCCCTCAGTGGGGGGCTGTGGGGGTACATGAGCCACTTGAGATCTCAAGAAGAATGTCCTCTCACAAACAAAACCACCATGGAGATCACTGGGGAACACACATCATTAATAATCACCATGAGCTGTTTCTCTTACGCAGATGAGGGTTTTTAATTTAGGGATATGCTGGGAGCTCAGTTTCATTTAAGAGATGACACAGAGGTGGTTAGCCTCAAGGGTTTTGCTCCTGGAGTACAAAGATACCCCCTGCAGCCCTGATACCGACTGGGAAGTCTCACTTGGTCCATGCCAGAGCTTTGGCTGCAAGAGGCTGGCTCTGCCCAACCTTTCCAGTGCTACTCTTAGGCTGGGCTTAACTCTCATGCGGTGAAGCAGATAAGGAACTGGTCTGGCTTTGGCTTAGAATTAACTTGCCAGACAGAAAGAGGAAAAGGCCTGTTTTCAGCCAGCTGGTTCCCATGACAGGTAGCCCTGGCACAAGGGAATTGGTGGAAACAGATTCCAAACAGCCAAAGGAAGGACTGTCTCTTCCAACACTTATGCCCATTTACAAGCAGTCTCAGGGAAATGGAGTGTAAGTCACAGGTCCCTCTTCATCCCTGGGAGGTACCTACACTAAACTGCACAAGTATTTGACTGGTGTCTCCTGTAGATGAACTCCGT